AGGTATATTTAGTACAGAAGATTTAGATAGAAATTATTCTATAAAACCTTTTCAAAGATCTCGCCCACAGCAAAGCAATATTTCTGCTAGAATTGATAAAATAAAAAATGCAATTAATGAAGAAAGAGATGTAGTAAACCAATTAACTAATCAATTTAAAAAAGTATATATACGAAAATGTGATATTTGTGGAGAAATGGGCCATAGCAAAAAAATTGTCCTAATCAACCTACGGTCTAATCTAATTATACTCGATTATATTTTACACCTCTCAAGCCAATATATCCCCAATACACACTTCTAATTTAGATGATGGTAAGGAGGATGAAGGTGGGTATAATGAGAAAGATAATCAATAGCATGCCCCTTCATCCTATTTAGAAAAAAAAACGGATATTACCAACAATAAGTAAGATATCACAGAATAAATTAGTAATTTCATGCAAATCTTTAGTTACAGAATTTAAACAAAATGAAAAAGTTACTATGCCAAACCTTTTTCCAGAATCGGATGACCAGTTATTAGAATTATTATCCCCAGCAATGTGAAAAAAAATTATTGACCCATCTACAAAAAATAAATGTGCTGAATCACTTGAATATATGCAGTGTAGAATTGAAGATATAATTATTCCGGATGGGTTTGCCGATACAGCATCAGGATGTCTTGTTATGAATAAAGCACTAAATAAGGCATTAGAATGGAATTTTGGGATGGCACCAAATTTTTCTCTTAGACATAATTCTGATTATATAATGAAATTAATAGGAGGACATAAGGATGTACCAATATCTATAAAATATAAAAATAAATGGGTTACTGAAACAGGACATGTTGTTATTGATGATGGAAAACCCGATTACCTTTTTTGTTTAGGAACGCCATGGATTCGAAAAGTTCAAGGAATTCTAGATACAAACAAACATGAATTTCAAATGATAGTTCATAGAAAATCTTATATTATTGCAACCTTTACTAAGCCAATTAAGGATAATGTTTCATCAAACCTTTATATAACAGTGATTCAGAATGATAATTCAAAAAATCAAACATTTGATTCTTCTACCAAGATCGATACTAAAGAGGAGCCAGCATCTAATGAGGAAAAAGAGTCCCAAGTCTCTGATTCTTTCACTGAAGATCTAAAAAAAAAACATAATAGATTCTAACAAACAAATCGATTTCTTTCTTAGACTAGAATTCTATTCCAAGATTCAAATTATATCAGGTATGAAAAATCTAGAAAATAAAGCAACTATTAAAAAAGAATTTATTAGAGCTCTTGATTACACAGAATATCTTAAAAAGGAATTAATACGATTTCAAGATTCAGCTTGAAGCTGTTTTTTATATTCTCGTAAATTTTCCATTCTAGCTTGTACATCACTTCCTAGTATTGATGAGATAGAATAATTTATAGTTTTTGATTTTGATCGATCTCCACCTTTAGATAATTCTACACCAGAGTTTGTCTTATTAATATTAAAACTAGGAAGTTTCTCATTCTGTGAGACTTTCTTTTTTCTGCTAGTCTTTTTTGTTGCTGGTTTGCTCAAAGAAATTACTTGCTCAGAATTTCTGGCACTTGATAAGCTATGTATAGGCAAGATTTCTAGTTGAGGTATTGAGATAGATGAATTTATAGATGTTATTTCTATTTCAGGTGGTTGAGGATAGATCTGGCCATTTACAATATCATCATATCTTTTATTGCCAATTTTATAATTAGTACACATAATGCGTTTTCTATTTGGTATCTGTTTTGCATGAACATCTCTTATTTTTTCGATTGCTTCAGGAGTTAATGGAGTAGTAGTGGCATTAAAATATTGTCGAACTCGAGATCTAACTTTGGTTTTAACTATTTTCGAAAAATATATAATGATATTAAAAAATATCTGATTTAAATCTAGAAAAATATCTATTCATTTCTAGTATATAATTAGATAAAAACTGAGTAATAATTAGGCAATAATTAGACACAAATCAGACAAAAACTGAAAAATAATTAGTACTGACTTGATTATAGATCTATTTTTATATAAAACTGATTAATTATTATTTTATGCCTAGCTAAGTATTAATTTTTGCCTAGCTAATTACTAACTTCTATCTAATTATTGTCTGGTTAAATACCAATTATTATCTGGATTACTTTTTTATTCATAATCAGTAAAAAGTCAAATTGCGATTAGTTTTTTTCTTTGAACATAATTCTCTTCAATTATATGGCACCAATACGTACTTTGTATAGTGAATCTACTGATGCCAAAAATTTTCAAGGATATGGATATAAATTAGATAGTAGAGAACATGAACTTGAATCTCAATGCAATGAGTTGCTTCTTGAAACCGAATTTTTCACTAAAAAATGTTCCGAATTTAGAAATGCTAAAGCTCTTGCAGAAGCGCGATCTGATATGATTACTAAAGAGCTAGAAAAAAAAATACTAACCTTACTTAGTATAAAGTCAAGTATTATAGTAAACTAGAAGAAGCGAATTCATTCCAATCTAAAATCAAGTTATTAGAAGAAGAATTATCTTTAACTCAAAAATACTCATCAAAAAAAAATTCTAAGATAATGTCCCTCAAAGCTGAATTGGTGAATATAAAGAGTGAATTAGATTCAAGGGTCAGTGAGCTTGAGCATCTAAAATTAGAAGATATTTCGGTACCTATGGTTGGTGGAGATAGCGAAAAAAATATGTCAAAGTCTAATAATATCTCTACAGTTAGTGAACCTAGCAAAAATCTTAATCAATATTTTGTACGCAGAAAAATTATGAACAAAGTCGAAAAAATTAGCACTAATATACCAACTTATACCAATGATAAAATTGTTCCAATATTAGAATTTTTAAAAATCGATATTGAGGTTATTTCTAAGATAAGTGATGAAACTATTATCAGCGAAAATAGTGAGGATAGACCCAAAGGGTTATTGCTTCGCAATAATAAAGATAATATATTATAACCTATTGATACAGGAAACCAATTTCAAGAGATAAAGAATGCGACTCCGATTAAATCCCATAATATTACAATAGGAAGGAGTGAGGAATTATCTATTATAGCATTAGGTGCTAGCATAGTTAATGATAAGTATCAAACTACTTCTATTAAGTTTGTTATTTTTGTCTTGATAATATTATTCATTATATGGTACATATACAGGCAAATTTTTCATTCAACCAAAAAGAAAGAAAATTTTTATCCAGTCTATAGAAAACAAAGTTATGGATTCCCAATCTGCTATACAAAAGAATCAAAAAACAGAACTACCCCCTATGAAACTTTACTTTATGGATATAAATGAGGCCACAAAGCACAAATTATCACGAATTCAATCTCATCCTGCAAGCCCATCATGGCCTTTCTCTATGCTAGTTATTGGAAAAAGTGGATCAGGAAAGACTAATATTTTGGCAAATCTTTTTCTTGGTAATAAGGCTAAATGTATATATAAAGGTAAAAAAGGTAGCTCTAGATATATTGTATATGATGATTTGATAGTTTGCGGTTACCATCCTGATAAGCCAAAGTGGTCATTTGTAAGATATATAGGCCGTCAAAAGTAGAAACCAAGGAATTTGACAATTTTTTGAAAATTAATCTGTTTGATTGATCATGTATAAAATTTAAAGCCCAATCTTTTTTACTTAATAATGAAAGTCTGATTATTTAATAAATTTTTGCGCTATAATGGTTAAAAGTTTTTGACGCTATAATCTAAAAATAGATTTACCGATGCAAATGTTAGTATAATAGTGATCTACAGATTTAATAATCCTGTTTAAACAGGTTTGTTAATATTGAATAAACTATTTTTAGATTGTTTTAATTTTGTGTAACAAAATAGTTTTTGCTGATTTACTCAAAACCCGTAATCAGCCAAATTCCCTAGTTTCTACTTTTGACAGCCTATATGTATAGCATAATTTCAAAAGATCCAAAAGCACCTTACTATGAAAATATCACTTTCAGCTATATCTCACCTGAAAAAATTCTCAGTACAAAAGCATTTTCTTCTGAAAGAAGCACAGCAATTATTTTTGAGGATTTATGTCTCGCTTCAGATCATATACAGAATCGAATTAGCCAATTTTTTGGAAATGGACGTCATCAGAATATTTCATGTATATACGTAGCACAGAAATATCATAAAATTAATACTTTCATACGTGAAAATGCCTCACACATAGTAATCTTTAATTCTGGTAGCTCATATGAAGATGTTTCCAAATTTATTAGACAATATACTGATGACGTGAAAAGTGCATCAATAATAATTAATAGCTATCTTCGCAAAGGTAAATTTGTTGTATTTGATCTTAGTAGGCCAGAGGATGATCTTTTTGCAATTCGGTTAAGATTTGATACTCTACTAGATTTGCAGAAAGAAATAGAATTATAGCAAAAGCGCAAAATAAAAAATGCTTTACCTGTGAAGCCCACGAATTCTAAACCTGAAAAGGCTAAAAAAATCAGCCTTGTAAGTGACCTGCTTCACAGAAATGAAAGTTTATAGTATTATAGTATGCACTTCATAGATTTTTATTTCACTTCGTGCATTACCCAATTGTGATAAGTCAAAGACTCGCGACTTTGCTACTCTCAAGAATAGCATTAGAAAAACGGTGGACAACTACCTATCTATATCCTCAAAGGTATTAGTAGAATTGGTATAGCCAAAAAATAATATATAAATAGTATAGGTATTTTATATTATGAAGAAATTAATAAATTGAATAAATACCTATGTACTTTGCTTCTACTATATTTCTAAAAGTCGTTTTTGGAATCTAATCTGCAATTGACTCTTTTTAGAATCTATCCACCCTATAAAAAAAAATAGACTGAAATTATCTTGAATTAATACTTAAATTTTTTAGTATAAAATTCTGTATAGAATTATATGGAATTGACTGCAAATTCTGTATCACATAATATAGAATATTTATACAGAAACCTTTTTATTAATGATTTAAATAGTATATATTATATTTATTTTTATATATAATAAATATAATTAAAGATTAGAGTTTCAATCCAAATAAATCTGTTATCCATTTACCTGCATTAACATAACCAAATATCCATTCATTTATGTCGGATATCCAAAACGGATTAACCGAATCATCTGAAGTATTAGAAAGAACTATTCTTGTATCACTACTCTAAAAAATTTCCCAGGCCAAATCGATTTCAAAATCAGGTATTACACAAAAAAAACAAAAAATCAAAACAAACTAAAAAATTCATTATAGTTCACATTTTATTTATAAAATTGCCTTCTACGCACTAACAAAATGATTTCCTTGCGAAATTTTAACTTTATCTGCCAACTTTAATTTATAATAGTTGTGGTTTAATTTATAATAAAATATATTCAGCTTAATTTTTATTATGTATATCTTCTATATATTTAAATTCGACTTTTTAATGAGTGCGACACATAACAGCAGCTCAAAAAGTTTACCTGCTTTGCATGGTGTTAAAATCAAAACAAGAAAAGTTTGTCATCAGCTTTATTTGTTGATTAAAAATTATATTTCATCTAGATGTTAACTCTTTTTTCTGTTTCTATAAGAGCCTGCAAAAAGCTCAGGCAAAGTACGAACCTACTGGTAAAAAGTCTAGCTCAGTTTGTCTTGTGATTGATCTGTTTATAGTGAAATAATTTCCTAAAAATTTAATCATCTCAGTTTTTAGAAAAGGCATTTTAAAAACACTTTATAATGCTCAACCTGGTGACTTTGACGATATTTATCAACGACTGAACAGCGCTGGTAATATGCTTGAATATAGAAAATACAGTAAAACTTTATTTGAAATTCTTCTTACTAGTGGTGTATTAGGTTCGTAAAATTTATAAAATTGATACTTATGATCATGTTGTTAGATGTTTATACTAATAATCATTTAATAATTAGCACCCGGAGGTAGATCCTTTATAAATATAGATTCTTGCTTTTTGTCCAAAATATAACAGATCTTTTAATATGAATCTATAAAACTTAATTCACGTTCCAAACACCAGATCTTTCAAAAAGTAGATAAATTTAAAAAAAAAATCTAGCTTTTAATTATCTATTCGATTACATTTATTGTTTAAATAAAAAGGTTTAAAATAAAAAAATGTTTAAGAATAATAATCATTATAATT